CTGTAAATACAGAACATTCCCTGGGAGGTGCCCCTCACCACGTACAGGAATCCACGTCGAGGGGGATTTAATAATAAAAGAAAAATAACTACCAATTTAGCATTTTAACAAAGCTCTCTTCTTTCATAAGGTTCCTTTCAAAATCTTTTAAAGAACCACTATAATTCTTCACTCTTATATTTTTGTATATAAATAAAGACAACTCAAGTGTGGTATTTGGAGCTAAGAAACATTCGGAATTCTTTTTAGCTTAATGATAACCATTATATACACTTGCTTTAGTTTTTTTCATTGCAAACCTTTTCCTCGTCTATTTTACAAAAGGAATTGCATGCTTTTACTAACTAGACATTTTTCATTTATAAGTTTTATTTCTCTTTTCATACATTTATAAAAAAAAACGTTTTCAGTTGAAATGTAAACAACTTATACAAATACACTCCTTTTTGGCTAGCCACCATGATCAAATTAATAAAAACATTTCAAGTTTCATTAACATTCTTTCCACTCAACTTAGCCATCTAATTTTTCTCTCTTAAAATATCTGTCAGTTTTTGAAAGTCTACTTTTTTAAAGTCAAGAACATAATTCTTATTAGAAATAAGTTTGTTTCAATAAAAACATCAAAGGAGATATGTTTTGTATCAGCAAAAGTTGCTTGACAACAACTGTTATCTTGAGAAATGGATTAAGTTGGTGAAGTGTAAGTTGGTCAAATATTTAGCAAGGTAATGCATTTGGGTTTTCATAATTTGTATCACATGTGTAATACAGATGGGAACCCATTCAAAGTAAGGATCTTGACAAAGTGGCAGATACATCACTCAAACCATCAAAGCAGCTTTACTGCTAGCAGCTGAAGTATATGTGATAGAATTTCAAGATGTAATCATATATATATATACATACCTATTACAAGTCAAAAAAGCTAATTATCTTATTTATTCAACTCACTAGTTAGGTCTCACTTAGAATATTGTGTAAGATTTAGTTTCTTTATCTAAGAAAAAAAAATTCATTTATTTGAAATGATTCAGCTACAAGGATGATTCTGGAGATGGAAAGGTTATATTATAGGGATAGTTTAAGATCTCTTATTTTCTCTTGAGGAAAGAAGGGTAAGATGTGACCTCATTGAAGTTTACATAATTATCTGAGGCAGACCAATAGGATAAAATCCTATATTTTCATTGTGTTATATTTTGAGGACTGCTGGATGTCAAACAAGTTCAAGATTTCGAAGACAGGCTAAGTTCCAGTTAAGAAATATTCGTTTTTCAAACAGGGTGATTAGCTTGAGGAGTGAGTTTCTATTGGCACAGTGAAAGTCAACACTTTACAAGAGTTCGTGATAGGAGTGAACTATTTCTTGAGAAATAAAGGGTGGGTTAAACTTTGCGTTTTTTATTTGTGGGTGTGAGGACAAAGTAGCCCCTTATTTCCTGTATTTTATGTTAAAAGCAATTTCAGGTTTATTCTGTGCAGTATATAATAGATTTAAGCTTACTTACATTACTGCATATGTTTGAGAAAGCAAAGTTTTTAAATAGTAAAAAATTTAAGCATACTTTTAAATATGAATTATATGCAAATACAGCTAAGAATAACCTCCAGGCCTCAGTCTTTTTTAAAAATCTGTTTCAATGTGAAAAATCAAATAAAGTTTAAATGGTCATATACAGCATATAAAGTACATGCTAATACTTATAATCTTTTTATGCAAAACCAAGATCTATATTACAAGACACATCTGAAGCACTGTTAAACTCAGTCCATGATACACACCAATATGTTGAGTGAATTAATAAACACATCAACAGAAATTAACCCTTCTGAGATAATTAAGAAAGTTTATAGTAAATGGACTTTAAAATTTAAAGGCCAGTCTCAGTAAACAGAAAATAGCACAAGGTATATCGAAAGTATATTGAGATATGATGTTTATGCTTTATTTCTAACATCTTCTAAACTACCTTTAATCAACTCTACTCTTATGACTTTCTGTACTTAGTAGATTATTTGACCTTCTCAAGTTTTTGTAATTCATATCTAAAATATGATAGTTCAAGAAAACCATGAAAACGTTTGTTGCCATGTGCGACACTGATGGGTTACAACCAACTTTTAGTCAAGGACCATGTGACACACAAATGGGTCACAGACAATTATGTTTCAAAGCCAAATTTCTCTTGTGGCAAATGAGTTTGGGACACTGTGACTGCTCCTTGGTACTTCTTCAATATTTATTTTATTTATACTTAATGGCAGCGAACATGCTACTTTATTAAGGAAATTGTAAGCAAATTTACATTTTAAACCATAGATGATTTTAACATAAGCCTAATAGTAATACTTGTTACAAAAGATCATTCAGTAATAGTTGAATAAGCAAACTAGGTCTAAGAAGCAATATTATTATAACAGTATTTCCTATGACAAGCCACAAATGGTTTTACTTTAAAAATGTGCATTTTATTTTGATTCATAGTAATTACCTTATACCCAAAATTTTATGATGTGATTTCATCTCTATGATTAAAAATTTTGAAAACTGTAATAAATCGTTTTTGTGAAGTTACAATAAAGTTACTAGAACAACATTGGTGAATGACTCTCAACATTAGGCAGTAGTCTAACTTTACATTTACTGTCAACACATTAATTAAACTTGATCTTGTGACTAAACACACTGAGTGGTGTTGTTAAGTTCATGTGAACTTGAAGATTAGTACATATTTATTAAGTAAATGAAATTCTAGTTCATAGTAATACAAAGTTTCATCTGGCTGTGATGTCATAACGAGATAACAAAATATTGCTATCACTTCTGCACAGTGAGATGCTTCATTATTTTTTGATATTTTTGCATATAAATGAACATTAGTTAGTTGTATTACAAATTTCAAAACACAGTAAACTTACCCTTGGATCTAGTTTTTCTACAGATGACTGGTAAGTAGCTCCATCGTATCCTCCAATTACATATAAACAACCATCTGCAATAAGTCATTTGTAAAATGATGTGATTATTGAATTAAAAACATAATCAATGCATTTACCATATCTGTTATTGCTTCTACATATTTCTCTTTTTTTATTAACCACTCAGCCATCTGAAAGAAGTGTTAAAACACAGGAACCGAAATACTGTCTATGTCATGTTGAATAACTATTTGTTTTTACAGAAAATATTACTACAGTTATTAGAAATTGAATTATCAGAATTTGATTTATGTTTCCAGATTCATTTATTTGTTGGAAAAAGCATTTGTGCAACCAACTGTATATGAAAGAAGCTAAATCTATGTCCATATATACTTTAATTTAAAATGCAAACCTTCAAACTCAGAAGCTGAAGCTGAAATAATTTTCCTATCATGATAACATAGCCATGGCACCATATCCATATGCAAATTTATAATACTGTTTGTTGTAAGCTATATTTAAGATAATTTAAATAAACCTGCCAATGAGAGAATTACTCTAGAGACCTTAGCTAAACTTGCAGAAGATTTGGAAAGTTTTGCCAAATTATTTTACCCAGATTCTTATCATGAAATGATGAATTCTTTTGCAAGTGACCAATTTAAAGAACTTTAAAAATCCTCCCAAAGGATAGCAGAAAGAGGGAATTGTTATAGATGCAGAAAACCTGACTATTACAGCCAAGACTACAAAGAATCATCAGCTGTTAAGTCACAAATTAAACATTACCCTATATAAGGATGAGTCTGAGTGCATTCAGATCAAAGGACTACCCAACATTGATAAAAATACGAATTATTTGCACTTATAGGGTAAAGTTCAGCTGAAAATACCAGTCCACAGGTACTATGTCGATAAAAATAGTACAATTATAAATATGAGAATCAGTGATGCAGTGAAATGAGTAAGTTAGTTCAGTGTCAGTAGTGAGAGTTATCAGTTCTATTCAGTTACTTGGTCACTTATTGAGGAAATTTCGTAAGTAAATTTATTTGTGAGTTAAGCATAAATTTGTGATGAAGTCTTGGTTGAAGTATATATATATATATATATTTAACTTAGGCATAAAACTTGTGTCAAAGTGAACCTATCCTGTACCATTAGTTACAGAATTTAGTAATTAAGCTTTAAAAAATATATTGTTGTCATTACATGGACTTGCTAATAAGTATTGTTACGTCCCTGTGTTCGTTTGTTAATTTTCCGTAGAAATTCTTTCCGAGAAACTTCAGCGATACAAACCCTTTCTTAAATAAAACTAGTTTATTCTTTCTCAACACAACTTTGCAATACACTCATGCTATAATTCACAACAATTTACACACTTTACTTACGGCTTGACTCGATTATCTGTCTCTATCTCCCTGTCTGCTATTCAGTTATCTATGCCGTCACTTTATTTGCCGGCTTATATACTATAAAAGCGCGAGTCTAGCAAACGCTCGAGCTTTCAGGAACGTTCGAGATAATCATTACGTGTTACCAGGATCACGTGACTTCCGCTGTCTTAACAGTATCATTAAGATAACAATTACAATTTTGGGCTCTATCTTAGTAGCTATGAATTTTATCTATGACTAATTTGAATTCTCGACTTTCTTTAGTTTAACATTACCACAAGTAAATAATCTACAAAGCATAATAACTAGAAGTGTTATTATATGATGAAAGTATTTTGTAATCCTTTCTAGTTATAGAAATATATTTCAACCATAAGTGCTGATTTTTGACTCTTTTGGTTGGTGCTCATGATTGAAAGTGCAAAGCAATATTTCTGATTAAACAGGTTAGAATCGCTCAGAGCTGCTGACTGTGGGGTTTCTGGGACTTACAAATTTCAAATAGTTTATGTAAAATGTTTTTTCGGCCGAGGTTTATTTTTAATTAATTCTTGCATATTGCTTTGTTTTTAGAACAAAGTCACATTGGGCTATCTGCTGTGGCCAGCATGAGGAACCCAATGTTGGATTATAGCATTTTAAGTCTGTAAACTTACTACGGGGGACACTTCTTGTATATAGAACATGCATAGACACTAATGCCTACTTTAAACAACAACAACGAAAAAAGTTTTGGCACTAAAAATATTTGTTATATTTTGGAGAATAAAGTTTACTAAGTTTTATGGTGGCTTTATAAGGTGTTGTAAATGGCAGTATTACTAATCATAGAGTTGGTAGGCTCTATATGTATGGATGGCCAAGATACTCAATAGGCATAATACAAATATGCATGTTAAACATAAAATAATGACAGAGAGTTTTAATTTAAAAGATGATTGCCACACACTTTCATTTGTTTCTCTACCCAACAAGCCCAAAAAACATGGCAAGAAAGCATCATTAAGATACCAAATCAGAAAGTGGCCAACCCACCATCTTTCTTCTTCTTCTTTTAGTCGAGATAACTCTGCAACTACGTTATCACTAATGTCAGTTTAAACCTAAATCCACTCTATGTATTCCTGGGTAGTACATGATGTCATCGCTTAGTCATAATAGCTAGTAGTAATTAAAAGAAAATCACAGTTCTAGCGTAAATGACGTTATAATTACCTCTTGACGTTGGCTTTTTCACAGAAATCTAATGTTCCTTTAAAAAACTAAAGTACAGGGTGAAACAGGAATTACCAACCGATTATAGATGAATATGGGGTTTCTGGGACTTACAAATTTCAAAGAGTTTATGTAAAATGTTTTTTCGGCCGAGGTTTATATTTAATTACTTCTTGCATATAGATGTATAGTGGCGATTTTTAATGTGAAACGACCACATGCTGTATTTTAGTAACAGAGTAGAGAAGAATAATTCGTCTCGTTAATTGTGTTCTAAAATAACTGAACCAGCCTGTGTGGACTTGACGAAAAAGAGACAATTACTTAAAGCTCTGGATACAACTGTAGTAACCAGCACCTACTTTCAGTCAGGGGGAAAATATCACAAAACAAGTAATAAAAACATTTTGTAAATGTAAAACAATGCAGGGATGGCAGTGCTAAAAAGAATGCAAACAAAAATATAGGAATGATACAGCTATACATAATCATCCATGCATGACTTTCAAAATTAATGCTAAAAATTGTAAAATGCATACTTGAATTAAATATTACTGCAGTGGGAAGTTATTTAGTCCTGATTTTTGGTATGCAGTCTGTTAGATATACATGACTATTTCAGTTTAAGTCTAATGTCAGCATTATGGTTAAGATAGTTTATATAGTGTGGTGTCATATTTAATTATATTTAGAAGGTATATTTCATGGGCAGTTTGTTTATGTAACTGTTTCCGAATCATGTGAGATTATTGAGTCATGTTGCTAGAAATTTCTGAGTTTCTCATTGGTTTAATTGAATATTATTGCATCAGAATACGTACTATTGCATGGAATGTTCTAGACTTATGTCGAGTATAAATATGCATCGAAAATAATATATTTCTAATTCTGGACTGTGTGATCATGAATTTAGCGATATAGAATGTATAGATGTATAGTGACGATATTTAATGTGAAACGATCACAGGCTGTATTTTAGCAACAGAGTAGAGAAGAATAATTCGTCTTGTCAATTGTGTTCTAAAATAACTGAACCAGCCTGTGTGGACTTGACGAAAAAAAGACAATTACTTAAAGCTCTGGATACAACTGTGGTAACCATCAGTGTAACGAACATTTGTATATATGTTTGAACTGTTTTTAATATATTATTTTAAAAACAACACAGCTGTTTATGGCCAACAAGTTATAGACACCTAATGTAAATAATCCGGCCTTACAAAACCTGACAGCATCTACAGTGATAAATGGCAATAGAAGAAGATTTAAACAATGATGGCAAAGAGGTCTATATACATATATCTATAGAGGTCAGAATCACACTATATAACCATGTTAATTGACTTTGACAAATGGATAGAGAAGGTGAGCAACTTGGCCTCAAAGATGGTGACCTACGAGGGTTTGTTAAACAGCAACAAACCTAGAGAGAGAAGAGCACCAACAAAAGAGAGAGGAGGAGAGGCAGAGAAGTAAGAAAATGACTGAAAGAAGAATGTAACGTGAAACACAAGCCCAAAAGAGAAAGAAGAAAAGGAGAAAGAGGAGAGACTGGAAATAGAGAGAATAAGAGCATAAACTGAGATGGACAAGCTCATCCACAGAAAGACACAGGACCCAAGAGTGACAATGGGGTCAGGGCCATCTGACCCAAGCTGCCCAAATGTGATAAACAGAAAGATGGCATGGATGCTTTCCTGGAGAGGTATGAAAGATTTGCCCAAAATCAGAACTGGGACAAAGGTGACTGAGTGGTCTGTCTCAGCCCCCTTGTCACAGGAAAAGGCCTGCAAGTATATGACAGTCAGGAGATGCCATGGACTACAACAAGTTAAAAGTGACCTTGCTGAAGCACTATGAGCTTATCAAGGAAGGATCTTACTGGAAGTTTAGATAAGTCAAAGTTGCTTCACTGATATGTCACTGTTCCCAAAGAAGAGAGCACCGAAAAACGTAGACAAAATGACCAAGCTGTCAGTACAGTATATGGAAGCCCATGGAGAGAGCATAACTGGCAAATCCAAGAATAACCAGTCAAAGTCGAAACCAGGGGTGGCTGACCAGAAGCAGAATACCACCAAAGGTGACAATAAATCAACAGACAAAAGGGAGAAGAGATGCTATGATTGTCATAAAATGGGCACCTTGAAATTGAGTGCAATTCTACCACAAATGAGTAGCAGCAGAGATCTCAACATAAACTATGGGTGCTGCTGGCAGAAGAAACAAAATGAAGACAACTTGTAAGATTCACCACAATAAGGAAGTGCTATCACCATGATTAAAGAATGCATGATTGATGGCCAGCTGTAGTTAGCAAAGGAAAACAGTGCCAGTGGTGATCAGAGCATGTGACAAACTTTGAGAGATGCCAATGAACCACAACATGCCAGTAGGTGAAGGCTATGTCTGGGATAAAAAAGTGGAAGTCCTACACGACACTGGATGCAGCAGTG